AATTTGTGTCTCTGTGTGTATGTGTGTGTGCGTGTGTGTGTGTGTACGAATGTATACATGTTATGGTTGCCAGATAAAATACAGACATCTGGTTAAACGTGAATGTCAGATAAATGAACAGTTTTTTAGTATAAGCAAAGACTGCATCCTGTATTATTTTTATTATTATTTTTTCATCCTGTATTATTTTTATTTTCTGAATCTGGCAAGCCTGATACCCGTAAACATGGGCTTGCAGAGAACTAGCAAGTGTCTAAGTGCGTACATTGTGCAAGAACACACACGTGTGTGTATAAACGTAGGCAAGGCCAGGTGTGTACAGACACCAAGGTGCGTGCACACCAGAACGCAGGTGTAGAGATTTCACTGTGTGTGAGCAGTGCATGGCTGTGAAACCTTTGGTATGTTAAGTGACTGTGTAAAAGTAACTGTGTACAAAGATGATCATGTACGCGTTTCCACGTTTGCATCTATGTGTGTGTACACCAAAGCACATGAAGTGTCGGATGTGGAAGTGTTCACATACATGCACGTTACAGGACATTAAAGCTGGAAGGAAGCTTGGAGATCTCGCGCACGTAATTGTAAATGTGAGAACACTGAGGCCGGCCAGCCAGACCGCCTGTGTGTGTGCACGCACGCGAGTGTGCCCGAGCTCTGGGGATGGTGGCAAGCACGGGAAGGCTCTCTGTCACCTCGTGCCAGGCACTGCGGCCCACAATCACCACAGCAGCCGCCTTCTTCTGAGGCCCATTTCCCAAGGGGAAGTTCAGGTGCAGTGTGGCCAGAGCCCCAGCCTCGCCCTGTCTGGCAGACACGTGTGCCTGCACGTGGGTTACGTAAACGCTGGGGCCTGGAGCTGCAGCCAGATGTTCTGTCTCCTCCTGGAGCCAGATGGCGGCTGATCTGGGAGTTTCTGCATTTTTCTAGCTCCTGCCGTCCCCTTCTCCTGCCCTTTCTGGACTTTTCCCCAGGCAGGGCAGGGGCTGGGGACACAGGGACCTTGAACTGGACCAATTGCCTCATCTGGGAAGTGGCTTCCCCCAGGCAGGGGCTCGGTGATGGTGTCTTGGTAGATGCCCACGCCCCCAGGGCAGCTCTTAGCTCAGTGGTCTCCCTACGTCGCCCCAGAGCAGACCTGCCCCCAACTCACCCGGCCTGTGTCCCATTCTCCCCCGAGCTTTTCTCTCTTCCAGGTGACAGGCGATAACTAGCTGACCTAATAAACCCACGTATTAGTTTCCCAGGGCTGTCACCATGAGGGACCACAGACTGGGTGGCTTTAACAACAGAAACATCTTTCCTCACTGTTCTGGAAGCTGGAAGTCTGAGATTGAGGCCTCTCTCCTTGGCTCGCAGAGGGCCGTCCTCTCCCTGTGTCTTCACACGGTCTTCCCTCTGTGTGTCTGTGTCCAGCTTTGCTTCTTATAAGGACACCTGTGCTATTGGATTAGGGCCCACCCTAATGACCTCAGTTTAACTTCATTGCCTCTTTAAAGGCCCTATCTTCAAATACAGTCACATTCTGAGGTCCTGGGGGTTGAGATTTCGATATACGAATGTTTTGGTGGGGGTGAGGGCACAATGCAGCCAGTTAGCACCCACGGTAGTGTGTTCTCGGGAGCGGGATTCTCCCAGCTGCACCAGCGCCAGGCAATGGCTGTTGGGGGTCTTCAGAACCCCAATTTCCTGCTTTTTATTTTGACAACTGAGAACTTTACTGGGGGCCAAATAGAGACACTACACAGATGCAGAGCCAGGTCAGAGGTGACCTCCTCAGCCCTGAGCCCCAGCTCTGTGGGAAGGACGGTTTGCACAGCATGGAGGGGAAAAGTGACAGCTCAGGGTGGGAGGGGTCGGTTCACACCCCCTTTGCCCACCCATAGCCTGAAGCCAGGGAGCCCAGGTTTGGGGGCGGTTCAGGGCAGGCTCCACAGTGCCTGGGGCACTTGGTATGGCCCTGACACCCTTCCTGGGCCTCAGTGTCTCCATGTGTGAAAAGAGGCCGCTGGGCCCACCATGACCTGGGTAGGTGCCCATCTCCAGGTTCCAGTCCCCACTGACCCCTGCCCATCCAAGCCCCGAAGCATCCTGTCCTGTCCCAAGTGCCCAGCGGGGACTCATGGTCCTTTGGGGGTATGTGTGGCCCGAGCAGCTCTGCCTTCCTTTCTCAACCCTTCTGTGAGCCGGGCCCAGGGCTGGGTGCTCTGGGTGCTCTAGCTTTAATCCTCACACCTGTGCAAGGTAAGCATCATCCCCATTTTATAGAGGGGGAAACTGAGGCTCAGAAGGGTTCAGCGACTTGTCAGTGCCGGAATTTGAACCCGGGGATCTGACTCCCATGTGTGTGCTCCTCCCTCGAGACCACCCTGCTCAAACCGCCACCCCAGCCTGTCCCTGAGCCCCCTCGGCCCTCCAACCACATGACCTCGACAGAGGAAACGCAGGGAGGCTTCTGTGTTTTGGGAAGTGATCGCACTGGCCATGGCAGCTGGGGGTGGTGCCAGGAGGCAGGAGAGCACTGGGCAAGTTCAGGACCAACTCCAGGCTCCAGGAGGAGCAGGTGGGTTGGAGCAAGGAAGTGGGGGAGGACGCCTCACGTTGAGGGAGAGCTTTGGGGGCTACTCAGGGGCTGGGGGGGGCCTTGTTCCCACCATACCCAACATCCGGGTCAGGCGGGACCCACGGAGTCCGGCCGAGGTGGACCTCAGACAACACAGGCTGCCGTCCAGCACAGTGGGATTTGACTC